CTAAATTACCAAGTAAAACATGTAGAGTTGTTCATTTTTGTCGAGTCATTTTCCGCTCGTTCGCAATAGTTCTGACATAATGACAACTTTAAGAGAACAAAGAATGTCATAGAGGACTTATCAGATGCAAAAATACTTAGGAATATACATAAAATGATGAACGAGATTGACAAAAGAAATTACAGTACTTTAGGCCTTATCGATGGAAATATTTATTAAATAGAAATGCTTGTGTTAATTGGAATTGTGGTTGTATTCTATACGTTAGAACTATTTCGTGTAACGATATTAGTGATAATTCATGCACGTTTCGAAACCTTTTCAAGTCTTATTCAATTCCGAAGTTGATCGTTTTCTTTTTAAGTTAGGCTTTAAACATCTACTATTTTCAATGCGAAGAAAATTTAGAAATATCGACCATTACTTTTAAGACATCATTATAACATATTATATATCTCATCAAATATAAGAAATATTGAAAAAAAGAATCGTAAATCAGTAGATCTTTTTCAATCAATTGCCTAGGTAAACTTATTATCTTAGTTGAAGTTGGAAAATTGTATTCCAAAGATGTCTTATATTTTATAGGATGAACGACATAATTTGAAATATTTCTCGTTAACATGTTATGAGTATATTTATAATTATGACGATGTAGTTGTGCCACTTCTTCGTCGTATGACACATCTGGAAAAGTTAACTTTATATCTTCGTGTTCGTAATCGAAGTTCGTTCATCAATGGTACACATCTTCATAATGAAGTTCTTGTTCATATGCCTCAACTTCATACATTCGTCTTTTACATTAGCACAGAAAATGACATTAATGAATCAGTTCATCGTATATCTAATAATGATATTCAGCAAACGTTTACACATACAAAACATGCACGAACGGGTTGTATGGTCAAATATCTCAACACGTTTAAAGCCATATGTCATGTTTTCTTGCTTCCATTTCCATTTACTCATCTGAAAATGATCACAAATCAGTTTCCAACTATTATTTTTGATTATGTAACTCACTTGCATGTCCTTGATGTAGTTTCATTGAAGCATGAATTCTTCATTCGAATTAGTCGAGCTTTTCCAATGCTTAAATATTTCTCTCTGGTGAATATTATGTTACAGTCATGAGATGTTAATGAATGGAAATACGATAATAATTCAACATTTTCAGTTGTTGAATATTCTCATCTTATATCACTTGACATCATGCGTGTGTATCTAGATTATATTGCACAATTTCTGCTCGAAACAAAGGCGCATTTGCCTCGTCTAACTGAATTAAAAGTCAGTTATGACCAATTAAAAATGGTAACAATGAACTTTACAAGAGATACCACGCGGCGTAATTGTTCGAAAGTGAAACAATTACTTGTTGAAGAGTCAACGGCATTTTCAAAAGATGTTTATCAATATTTTCCTTCATTGTAAATTGAATTCTATGTTATTAACATGAATAAAAATAAATGTTATAAAAATCTTTATGTTATGTTAATAAAATAAAAAATATTAGTTGTTTATGATTGGGTATTGAGTTTTAACAGATATGTCCATTGGAAAATTATTCTTATTATTTTATTGATTTGTATTTATAAGTGAAACTATGTAGTTTAATGACAATTTCTGACAGTAGGAGTTTCAAGAAAAAACTATTAAAACAGGTCTGTGGGAACTATTGAAATTTAATACAGAAAAACATCAGAATATCATCTAACTATAGTCCATCCAAAAAGTCCGTGTGTGTGACTATTTGTTGAATAACTCGAGAACAAAAAGAGATATAAATCTGTGATTTTTACTATTGCATAGGGTTTGAGTACTCTATCGATCTCTACTAATAGAAGATGAAAAACATCGACTTTTAAGGTAATGTTCATTATCGATCTTTGAAAGATGTGAACGTGGTTATCGTAAGTGTTATAGTGACTAATCAGTTCTAAATATGTAAAAGATAGTCCACAGAATCCTCTATGAAATGACGAAAATCCGACCTCTCTAGTTATTGTAATTCAAAAATATCACACATTTTCCTGGAGTCTATACTAGTCCATACGTTCGATTACGATCACACTGTGATCCGTAATTACGGACACCTGTGATGCAGTTGTTGAAAATATGGCGACACGGAAATGCTTTTTCTTAATAGGATGGACTGCAAATATGTATAGTAAAGCTCGTTGTTGGTTATTGTTTACATTGTGGGAGTGGTTGTTTTTGGTCTCGAACAACTTTTATAATTGAAGATGACGAGCTAGACTATGTAGAAAGAGTCTGGACTTAAAATATGTGACTAAAATGAAGAAAAAAACCAAAAAGTGTAATTTTATGATCAACATATTACAGAATATCACTGATTGATATAAACAAACATATAATTCTTATATACTATAACAGGATATAAGAATTATATGTTTGTTTATATCAATCAGTGATACTCTATAATATGTTGATCGTAAAATTACATTTTTTGAATACCCAAAGTATTTTTTTGTTTTGTTTTAATCACATAGTTTGAATCCATACTCTTTCTGCATAGTCTAGCTCGTCATCTTCAATTATAAAAGTTGTTCGAGACCAAAAACAACCATTCCTACAATGTAAACAATGATCAACAACGCAGCAGTGTTCAGACTTTCAAAGAAAAAGGAAATTTCGAAAGTTTGGAAAATTTCAAGCATTTGTGTGTCAAATTATTCCGTACTTCCAAAAACTATAGAATTTCAGAAATTTCTGAAATTCCTAAACTTTTCAATGTTTCTAAAAACTTTTAATTTCCACTGCTATATGACTATTGACCTGATGGAAATTTCATAAATATTGGTAATTTCCTTTTTCGGAAATCTGAACATACCTCAGAGATTTTCACTGCACATATTTTGTATAATAAAACCAAAGAACAGATGAGGGTTATATATTTTAGTCCTATAATAAGAACTATACTGAGAAGTTGTTTGTAGCTTTGCGCGTATATAGGCTTTAAAATATTCTTTCTCATTTTCATACCAGATTAACTTATGATTCAAGGTAAGAAAGAGTCACCTGATTGAAGATTTCAAATTGATTTGTTCAGGTCTTTCATGTAAAAAAACCTCTCAGCGAGGAAACAGATTGATCAGTTGTCAAAAGAGGAGTCAAAAATATCTTTAGATGAATAAAAAACACATCACAATATGAAACAAAAGGACTTATGTTTCAATACGACCTACCTGGCAGTAGAACTTTTGACAACTACAAACAAAAAAAAATGAAAGGTTTAATTTATCATGATCTATTCAAAAACAATAGGATTTGCATCATACAAAAACACATTTATTCTGTTTTAATCCTTGACTTATATTTTAATTAATGATTTATAAGACAAATCGAATGAAATCATACTATTATTTGACTATAATCGTTAGTTCCCGTTGCGACAATTCTTTTTTCTTACAGTCTCAGTCCCATGCATCTCTACCAGAGATGGGACCGATTCGGTTGGCAACTTTCAAACCGATATCGGTTTCGGTTCGGTTCGGAACTTTTCGAACAGATCTCGGTTTCTGTTCAGTTTATTTCTTAGTTAAATTGATACAGTTTAAGTCAATGTATTGACATGTAAAAATAAAGAAACTAGAACGAGAAAAGAGGTTCTTAGCAACATTAACAATATTGATACATTTTCTTGTCATTCTTCGTCTCAGAAAGAAGGAAGTAAACAAACAAATCATGTCTTTAGTTTAGAAAAACACATTTAGATACTTTTGTTTTGTGATAACTAAATAAATCAAATACATCACAATATGACTATTTCTCTCCTATTAAATATAGATGATGTTATTGAACTTGATTTTTCATCAAATTGTGAAAATGTTCAGTTAAATTCTTCATCTTCTGATTCATTTTTTTTCATCGAATCAGGTAGCAAGTGTGTCCGGTTTATTTTTCGATCTTTAGCTGCTGAAAAAATTAATTCGAACTTAAAACTTAATAAAAAAAATTGAATGATTGTTGATATGAAAGATAAAAAGTCCGATTGATGGGAATGTTTTGATATTCCTGCTCGAAAAATTGATGAAGAAAAAAGTGAATTATTTGAAAAATTTCTGTCGTGTAAGTATTGTTATTATTTAGTTTCAATTATTCCCTAAGTAGACTTTGAAAAAACAAATTTTTCGGTTTAGTTCAGTTCGGTTTGGGATGTGGTGGGTGCAAGGGGGAAAAAGCAGATTTCAAGATTTCAAGATTCCCAAAGATTCTCAAAGATTTCCAAAGATTTCTAAAGATTTCTAAAGATTTCAAAAGATTTCTAAAGATTTCTAAAGATTTCTAAAGATTTCCAAGGATTTCCAAAGATTTCTAAAGATTTCTAAAGATTTCTAGGGATTTCTAAACACGGTAATTAAAGTAAATATGCATGATCTAATAAATGTCTACTTGAGAACCAAGTCTGGCCTCATTGTACACGCATTGGGATGTGTTTTACTCTGTTCACTGGAGCGAAGACAAATGGAAAAAAACATATTGCAAGATTTTAAAAGTTTTTTGAAGATCTGCAACTATTTTAATTAAATAAAATCTGTATGCTCTAATAAATCTTGACCTGAGAACTAAGACGAGGCTTGTTTTATTCATTTTGCAATGTACATCATAAATATCAATTTCTCGCTTTCTTAGAAAAACTGCAAAGAACACATAAAAGTTCAATTTTCTCCTTCATCATCATGAACTAAGTAGAGTTCCTAATTTTGATCTTTTTTGAGAAAACCTTCAAGACCTTTCATGATGCTAGACATAACAGCTTTTTCTCCTTTTTTTTACCTTACGTCGGAGTGAATAAAAAAAATTAAACGTTTATGATTGTTTCTTTTCAGTATTTTAGAAATGAATCATCAACACATATATTATGATAAAATACGATTTCAAGAATAAAAATCAAAAAGTGAAAGTTAAATAATAATAAAAGAACAATAATGTGTTTATACAAAAATGTCATCATTTTTTTCAACAAAAAAAAGTTAAATTTTAGTTCTCTTAGTTTCATAAGAATTATCGACATAATTTTCTGCCAAACGTTTGTTATTTCTTTTTCCCTTTTTTGGTTTTGCTGTTGGTTTATTTGTTGAATCATTCAAAAAAGTAGCTACTGCTACTGTTTCTGTTAAAGGTTGTTGATATAGAGGTTGCGAAGACAAGAAAGGCAACCTTGCTGTAGTTGAAGTATTTGAATCGTCATTTATTTGTTCTTGTTGTTCATCATTAATTTTCAAACCTCTAAGTTTTCTCATTAATGTGCATTTTTGGTTATCTCTTAAATGACGATAATAATTTGATAAGAGGAACTTACTTTTATTTTTTGACAGAACTAACTTTTCATTGCACTTACATTGAATAAATACATCATTCATATTTAGTATAATCAAATCATAATGAACACCTTCTGTCAAGACAAAATCGTTATTATCAAAAAATTCAACATTTTCAATACTCCATTTTTCAATTGTATTTATTATGATCTGTTTTGGATCATCACTAGTTGTTGTTGTTGTTGTCAGAGGAGCAGAAAAATTAGTTGTAGGTGTAGAAAATGAGTTAGAATTGTTACTTGTATCAATAGTACTTGTACTTGTTAATGAAAGATCTGTAGTTATTGGTGAAAGAGAAAATCTGTGTTGTTGTTGCTGTTGTTTATGTTTTAATTCTTTTGCATATTCTTCATTTTTTTTTGTAAATAATTCACGTAAATATTCTATATTTGCTTTTAAACCAGGTCGAATCATAAATGTATTATTTCGTAATTCTATAGAACATCGTTTCTGTAAATCAATAAATTCATCGGCATCCCAGGTTAATATTTCAAATATATCAGATGTTAGAAGAAATGCACTGATGTTGTTAATACTTTGAGCCTTTAACAAGTCAACAATACCTTCACTTCCAGTAACTTGAATAATAATATCATAAAAGTGTTGATCGTGAAGTGAAAAAATATTTTTTGGTAATATTGATGTATCAACAGTAATTTTTAACATTGTTCACGAGAAAAAAATGTTTTCATCTAATACAAAATTTTGTTAGAATTGACAATCAACGTTCTTCTACTATAGCTATAGAGAGAATAGAGATATGAGAGAGAGAGAGAGAGAGAGAGAGAGAAAGAAAATAGAGAAAATAAAATGAGCGTGTTTTATATGACATGTCAAACGAGCCAAACGTGTTCTTTTTCTTTCCGTATCAACCAAAAGCACATATACGGTTAGCCTTTCTGTTTCAAAACGCGAGAAGAGAAAAGACAAAAATTTTGAAATTTCCCCAAATATTCAATCAGATTCATGTGACTAAAGAGAAAAAAAGTATGGTTGATTTTCTTTCTTGAAGATTTTTTTTTATGAACATATTTTACCTTTACAAGGATCTTCAAGAACGAAATATTGTGCACAAGTCTCTGAGTTCTAAGTGTTTCATATACACAAGAAACCATGAAAGCCTGTTCATTTGTGAGTTTAAATGCAGTAAATTCATTATCAAAATTAATTATACTTTTAGAAATCTTTGTAACTTTTTTTTCAATGTTTTGAGCAGTTTAATTCACAAACCATGTAGAGAAATCTCTTCCCTATCGATCGTCGAAATTAGCAAAAGATTAAATTTATTAACTATATATGTATTTAGATTATTAACATCTCATTCTAATGATGGTTAAAAATGGAGTGAAAATTTAATCTTTTGCATATATCTCATTAATATTTGATAAAGGAAAATAAAAGCAAAAGTTATATTATTAATCGCAGACGTTAGATTGAAAAAAATTTGTATTTATTGCTACACATCTGTTCATATACTAATGAAAATGACAAGTATTTTCCTGCTGAAAAATCCTCTGGTTTCATTTAGAATTTCATGCAGATTCAGAATGTGTTGTTCTTCTTGAAAAATGTGGTAAGCAAAGATGTAACTTTATCAATACTCGTACTTTCTTTTCAATAATATGTTTATCATAGCGAAAAATAGGAAGAGAAATATTTCATTCGTTTTGTTATTTTTTATGCCAAATATTTTTTTCTAAAGAATATTACTGAAACTTTTTTTTACCTTGAAAAAATTCGCTTCTATTGTATACACTAAATCCATGAAAGATTACACATTTACTGTATGTAGAATAAATACGTAAACCTTTTATAGACAGATTTTCTAGAAGACTCTTGAAAATCAACCTTTAGATATAAATATTTCGATATCTTAGAGAAGACCTTGATGTATGCAATCGTGAAGATGATTTCTTGAATAAAAAAAATAAAACGGCTATAAATATATTTTTCTTATCAAACCAATAATAGCTGAGTGTGAGCACTTACCCCTAGTTATATCATCAAGCTTATGCATTACCTGGATACGAGGTAAATGTGAAATACTGATGGAGGTCTCTGAAAAGTCATAACCACTGCATTCAAGTGACGAACTTTGAAAAACTAATTTCACAGATCGATAGAAAAAAAATATCTCTGCATGGTTAGTTAAGAAAACTTTTAAAAACATTGGAAAAAAAGTCATATAGATTTAAAAAGTAGAATTGGCTTAATAATGTATTTATCCCTTTGAGTTCTATATTCTATTTCATTTGATCTTTCCGAAGTCAAATTTTTCTTTTTTAATCAGTAAAGAATGATTACGGCTGATGGACATCAAGAGTTAGGTATAATACTGTTGAGAAGCGAGCTATTTAATTTGAAAAGGTCGTACGGAACTGAAATATTTACTACATGATGGTATCTGTCATGTTTCAAAAGCTTTCTTATACATTAAACAAGTTATTAACTTATATTGTATATACAGTTTCGCAAGAAATAGACTCTTTTTGTAGTGAAAATATCGCTTGCTTCAAAGCTATAGTAAAAATAAACTTATCATTGTAAAAGAGCTAGCTTTGATGTTCAAAAGATGATGAACCTAGAAGATAAGATTCAGAAAATAAAAATAACTAAGAGTTTGAGGTAATCTATCAAAACGAAGTAGTAAAAATTTGAATGTGAACCGGATCAGAGTCAGAGTACTTCGTGATATGTGATGAGAAAAAGTATTGATAGTTTTAACTATTCGCCTCTACAGAAAAAACACTGCAAAAAGAGATTGTTGCCGGTAATAATGGTAGTGTTGTAGGTGATATTATATTTTAAATGAAATACGGTTCTCTAGAAGACTAAGGTTCGAAATAATCTTCATATTACGACAGAGATGCCTAAGCAACCCTTAAATATGGATTCAAAACATGTTAGTTTTGCTTTTTTGGTTTTCAAATCTGATAATAGTTCTGTGAGGAAGAATTTCGAAGACCTAAAAGACGTCCAATGTCAGAGAAAAACTCGATAATTTACAAATGAATGGCTCAGTTACAAAATGAAAATAGTTAATAAAATGTTTGCTAAAATCGTTTCTGAGATTTTTTTCTCTCAGCTTTATTTGCATTATGTCTTCCTGCTGTAGACGAAGTTTGCTTACTTCGTGTTTCACACTTTGTCTCTAACAATTTTTGTGTTCACAACTTCTTTATTTTATAGATATACTAAATCTCTTTTGATTAATTCAGATATACATTTGCTTTTTCAATGCAACGTTTAATCTTAGCTAACACTTTAGTGTTGCCTTCTGATATATTTCTGTTAAAAAATGATAGTTTTTATTCTTACGTATCGGAAGCTGTAGGTGAAATTCCTGCATCCTACTTGAAATTTTTAAGTATTAATTCTGCAGATTGCTTGTTACGTATTGATGATATATTTGCATTTATTTCAATTGATTCTCCAGAATTCAATGATTTGAGAAGCAAACTAGCATTTCAATTGAACAATGGAACTTTCGTCGTCAGACCTGGATTTAAACACATTTTAAATAATTTTATTCAAATTCTTCGTGACAAACAGAAAAACGATAGTAGTAGAACTAATGACGAACAACAAAAAGAAGAAATATTTAAAATAGTTCAAAAGCATTCACTGCTTCGTTCATTAATATCTTTCTATCAAGTTAATAATACTAATGATTTTACTATATCATTTTTATGTTGTCTTATTGAAAATACAATCGATAATCTTATGAGATCCAAGAATCATTATCATTATGCAAAACCAATCATTGATTTTTCCATCTCACTCTACATTTTGGGAGGACGAACCACCTATGAATTCGTACGAAGTAATCTTATATGTGCTCTACCAAGTATAACAACAATAAATCAGTTGATATCTACCGAATTGTCCTCTTTCAAAGAATCAGAATTTCGATTTGAATCACTAAGTGAAACTTTTAATTCCCGTCAAATTACTCACGTTTTTGCATCCGAAGATTGTACAGGCGTCGTCAAAGCAATCAAATACGATGTTCAAACAGATTGTTTTATTGGTTTTGTTAGCCCACTTCAAGAAGGAGTACCTCGTAAAACCTATTTCCAAACTGATTCTTTCGCAAAATTGAAAGAGTGGTTCAATAACACCAAGAAAGCAAACTTGCTCAATGTACACATGATCCAACCAATCACTCAAAATATTCAATTTGGTTCAGCTGAAATTTTGGCGGCGTATGGTGTAGCCGATTCTTATACTTCAACTGATATTTTGAAACGTTAGTTATATATATATCATAAATTTAAGCAACGAAATATTAGAATAATTGGATTTAGTACAGGTATGTTTTGAAACGAAGTCTTACTTACAGGTACAGAATCTTCTAGTCGAGAGGCCTTCGAGGGAGCTTTCTTAGGTACTACCTCGGTTTTCCACGAATCTTTGCCTATACATACTAGATGATGCCCTAAGAAAAGCTCTGTAGAAATTCATATGTACTTTGAAATTTGACTAAGCTATGGAATGTTTAATATGCCAATTTTCTAGAGGTACTTTCAAGATTTCAGCTTTTGGAAGAAATGGAGTCTGTGAAATTCAACTTAAAACTTCGAATATTTAGAAACCTTAGTAATACGAGATGTCATGGGAAATTCAGAGCTACTGAGCAAACTGCATTCAAGATAAATAGATTTCAAAAAAGTTTCCCATTGCATGTACAACCGATGGAAAAGTGTCAATATTCTGAAACTTTCATACCTCGCAAAGAGTATGATCAAAATTTCAGGACTTTTTTTAATGAAAACCAATATAGTTAAGGTGTATAAATGCGTACAGTTTTAAATCAAAGTTCGAAGACCTGATTTTTCCTCAAACCTGAAATTTTTTAGGACTGTTGAGAAAATAAGCATATTGAAAACTTGGCAGCTTAGTCATATCCCAATATACATCCAAATGCTTTTAGGACTTTACTAGGGTATCATGTAGTACTTATGAATAAGACTCATTGAAATTAGAGCAAAGACGCAGCTGAAGAGGTTCTTTCGTGGGCCTTTTTCGAACACTACTACTAGAGAATCAATGGAGAAGGTCTCCTGAAAAGATTCAATATGTAATTTCTTTCCTATGGAATCACTTAATCAATGCTATGTGAAATATGTTGAAAAGAAAGAAACTTTTGAAAAAATGCAAAATGAAGTGTTGTGGTTTCTCATTCCTAATTTTAAAATATAAACAATTAAATCCTTATCTCTTTAGTTGATTGCAAAATTTCTGAAGAAGATTGAAAATATTTTTTCTGAAATTTTGCAGATATTAGATCTTTATTTGCTTCAATACTCTGCTCACACTTCTGGCAAAACAGTAAACTTGGAAATTTTTTTTCTTCTGTTCCAGATTGTGATGGAAAGTATCTTCGATCTATGAAACTTCTATTAGAATTTTTTGCAACACTTCCGAACATCAACTTGACTAATGATGATAAATGTTTTCAAATTGATATACCAGATGAATGGAATTGGTTTTTTCTACGACGAAAACAATTGTTACTCTTTTTTCAAGATGCTACTCATCTAGCCACGAAATGGCGAAATCGACTTCTGTCGGATATCGCCGATCTTACTGTCGGGAATAAAAAAGCAAACATGTTTCATCTCGAACACATAGTCAAAACTTATAATAGTAAATTTGATCATGCA